ATCTTCACCTTCACAGAGGGGAAAAGCAGCCAGAGCAGAGCCAACAGCCTTGTACACACTGCGGTCAGTTCCATGACCTCGAGGTGTTTGCCTGCTCAAAGGCTTCTGCCCATTCTGATACTGGGTTGTGAAACGGTGGAGCACACTGGCTTTATTATGCCCAGAACTCCACTGCCTTTCATATAAGATAAAACTTCTCTTTTTGGTTTTCTTCCTCTCTTCAGGTCAGTAACTTTGCTCTCTGGGTAGCACCACCACACCCTATGCCTTCATTGTTCTGTGGTTATTTCCAAGCTGATCAGAAATCCACAGATCTCCTGTAACACAGCCCCTGACATCAGGCTGGAAATAATTCTCTCATCCAGGAAATAGCTGGGACACGCAGCTACTGACGGTTGCTGTGGAGAAGAACAGGACTGCCTAGTTATTCAAAGTTTTCCAGGCTAAGTCACATGCAGGAAAAGGGAAGACTAGGTTTCCTTTGCCAGCTTTTGAGCTGTGTCTATGAGTCTTATCCTTCCTGCTGCCAGACAAGCAGAGTGCTGTGGATGTTTCCTGAAGCTCTGCCTGCAATCGTGGTGGCTCTTCCTGTAGGACCTCTCAAAACAGGGGCTAGATATTATGGAGATCATAATTCCCTATATTTCTTACATAAAATCATGCTCTGATTTTGAGCTTTAGGTGAATGAAGTATCAAAACCAGAGGCCCTCAGTCCCAAACAGTTGTTACCTTGGATACACCCCTGATGATACTGTGTTGGAACAATCAGAACAATGTGAACTCCATTCCCAATGACCACATATGGCAACACCATCCCAGAACTGGAATTTCCCAACCTCCAGCTAAAATTAAATCATAGTGCCAAAGCAAAGTGGTGTAACCAAAGAGAAACAATAAAGGTGCGTGAAACCAAGTCAAAACAAAAGAGCAAAATGTGAGAGGAAAATGAGACAAATCCAGAGGGAAACAGTCAACACATGCTTTGAGTCAAGTAAAAAAGTGTTTTGCTGAAATGTTTGCCAAGATCAATATAGGTCTGTGAAAGAGTTCATAAATCAATATTTCTCAGCAAAAAGGGGATTTACATGTCAAAAATTCAACCACTTCTGTGTACAGAGCTCATCAAATTCAGTTGTGTTGCAGGTAAGGAAAAAAAACCTCGCACACATTTTGATTAGTGCATTTCTGGAGTGCAATTTGTCCCACAGATGCTGCAGGATAAAGTGGCTCATCCAAAGTGGCCCATCCAAAGTCATCTAAAGTCTAATTTCTACTCAGATCAGTGAATTAAGTCTGGAAAGACTGGGATGCTGAGGGATTGGATTAAATAAATACCCTATAGCTTTATGCAAGAAGTATTAAATAGGTACATATTAAAGAGGATATTTTATGATAAAATGTTTTAACCTATTAAAAATTGACATAAGTGCTCAGCACAATTGTTCTACTTTTTTCTTAAAAAAAAAATTAAATACATTAATACAAGTCCTATATGTTAACACTTGAAAAACCTTCTCTCTGATACCTCCAATGAGCTGCAAGTACTTAATCATATGTCTAACCTGAACCTTTTTCAGGCCTCATCAG